CCCCCTATTGATTTCTTGTTTTCTGTTTCATTGATTTCTGCTCAAATTTTTATTATTTCTTTTCTTCTGCTCACTTTGGATGTAATTTGCTCTTTGCTGTGTCAGTCCCAGCTTGTTGATGGTGATGCTCTCAGCTAGGAATGCCTGAGGCACTTTCTGGGCCTGTATTACTTGTAGTGAGCCCCGGAGACATCCCCCCCTAACCCTGCTACTGGGGCAATGTTGTGGCTGGACTGGCTCTTGTGGTTCTTATTAAGATCACTGGATGCACTTTAGCAAAAACCATGAGGGAACTCTGAGGAACAAGATTGATTACTCACAGGTGCTGGAGGGTACATGGCACAGCTCAGGGCCACGCAGCAAGGTCAGAGGGGGAGAAAGAGAGCCTGGGGCTTTGCCTTTATTAGGGTCTGAGGGTGGGGTGTCTAGGATCATGGGGTCACTCATTACTGGTGAGCCTGGAGCATAAGGGCAGGAATTAGGGTGTAGGCAGGGTCATTCAGGTGCTCAGTTTTCTAGGTCTCCCAGGGTTTTCTGAAATGGGAACGCCATGCGGGGCGGGAGGGGAATTCCCTACCTGATCGTTTTGCTAGTAGTCGTGTCATACAGCTGGTGATATGTTTATTCACGAGCCATGTCATCTGACATGGATGCCTCGGTAATCAAAGCTTCACGCCAGGCACTTACACTACACTCTTCTCCCCTTTGTTTTTGTTTTTAAATGTATTTATTTTTGGCTGCGTTGGGTCTTCGTCGCTGCACGCGGGCTTTCTCTAGTTGTGGCGAGTGGGGGCTACTCTTCCTTGCGGTGCGCAGGCTTCTACTTGTGGTGGCTTCTCTTGTTGCAGAGCATGGGCTCTAGGCGTGTGGGCTTCAGTGGTTGCAGCGTGTGGGCTCAGTAGTTGTGGTCCACGGGCTTAGCTGCTCCGTGGCATGTGGGATCTTCCCAGAGCAGGGATCAAACCTGTGTCCCCTGCATTGGCAGGCGGATTCTTATCCATTGCACCACTGGGGAAGCCCCTCCCCTTTGTTTTTGAAAGCTAGAATTCTAGGGTGGCAGGGTTTTGTTCTTCCTTTTAGTATTTTAAATATGTTACTTCACTGTCTTCTCGCTTGTATTGTTTCCATCAGGAGATCTGCTGTCAGCCTTATTTTTATTCCTTTGTACATAATGTGTCTTTTTTTCTCTGGGTGTTTACAAGTTTTTTCTCTTTATCACTGGTTGAGCAACTCGATTGTGTTACACCTTGGTGTAGTTTCCTTCATGTTTCTGAGCTGGAGGTACCTTGAGGTTTGTAGTTTTCATCAAATTTGGAAAATTTTCAGCCTTTGTTTTTTCAAATAATTTTTTCTCTCCCAACTTGTCTTTCCTTCTTTCTGGGACACTAGTTACATGTATATTAGGTCACTTGAGGTTGTCCCACAGTTGTCATTGAGGCTGTTAACTTTTTATTCTCCTTTCTCTCCATGTCTTATTTGGGACAGTTCCTATTGCTACCTCTTCAAACCTTCCTGCAGCAATGTCCAATCTGCTGCTGGTAATATCTGCATAGTTTTCAACTCAGACATTATAATTTTCATTTCTAGAAGTTATTTTTGAGTCTTTTTTTGTAACCTCTCTGTCTCTACTTAGCTGTTTTCAGTACTTGATATTCATTGTAGCACCGTGTTAGTGTCTTTGTCTACTGAGACTGATGAGATCTGCGTCAGCTCTGGGCCAGTTTCCATTGCTTGATTTTTTCTCCTCATTATGGTTGTATTTTCCCCCTTTGTGTACCTGACAATTTTAGATCGGGTGCCAGACACTGTGAATTTTACCTTGTCGAGGGTTCGATATTTTGTGTTCTTAAAAATATTCTTGGGCTTCCCTGGTGGCGCAGTGGTTGAGACTCTGCCTGCCGATGCAGGGGACACGGGTTCGTGCCCCGGTCCGGGAGGATCCCACGTGCCGCGGAGCGGCTGGGCCCGTGAGCCATGGCCGCTGAGCCTGCGCGTCCGGAGCCTGTGCTCCGCAACGGGAGAGGCCACAGCAGTGAGAGGCCCGCGTACCGCAAAAAAAAAAAAAAAAAAAATTCTTGAGCTTTGTTTTGGGATACAGTTAGAAGCAAATAGTTTGATTCTTCCAAATCTTTCTTTGATTTGTTAGGTGGGGTCTGTGCAGTGACCAGTCTGGGGCTAATTATTCCTCACTACTGAGGCAAGAGCCTTCTCCGTCCTCTAACCAATGTCCAGTGAACCAAGAGGTTTTCCAGTCTGGCTGGTGGGAACCCGCACTACTTCCTGCCTTGTTACGGTGCGGGGCGTTACCTCGAATCCTTCTGGGCGGTTCTTCGCCCAGACTTGGGTTGTTTACTGACATGCGTGTGCTGATTAGTTCTCTGCTGAAAATTTGGTGTGGGGGGTCTCCTGCAGATCCCCAAGTTCCTCCTCAATGTCGCTTTCTCCTCACCAGCTGTGGCCTCTAGCTGCCTTGGCTTCCCTGAATCCTCAGTTTCATCTCCTCGACTCAGGGAGTCCTTCTGGCCCTGCTTGGGTTCCCTTTCTCTGCACCGCAGCCTGGAGGTTCTCACAGAGGCAAGATGGGGCAATTGCAGGGCTCAGCCCATCGGTTCTTCATCTCTCAGGAGTCACTGAGCTTTGTTGCACAATGTTTAGTGTCCCGAGAACTGTTGCATCACGTATTTTGTCCATTTCTTTGTTGTTTCACGAATGGGGGCAAGTCCAACTCCTGTCACTGCATCTTGGTCAGAGTTTCTTAGTACAGAGTTTCAGTTTGGAATTATGAAAAAATTCTGGAGATCGTTAGTGGTGATGGTTGCACAACAATCAGAATGTACTTGATGCCACTGTTCACTTAAAAATGGTTAAAATGGTAAATTTTATGTTATCTATATATTACCACACACAAAAAAGACACCTTAAAAAAAAGGGCTACCTGAACAAAGGGAAGTCCTGGTACTGTTCTTTGAAGATGACAACACAACCCCGCATGTGGCTCCAGCCTCGGGTATGCTCCTGCCTTAGGCCTATGCATGACCATCCCTGTGCCTGGGGACCCCTCCTCCAGATACATCAACCATGAGTGGCCCACAGATCACCCAACCCAAGGCTACATCTTTCAGTGAGCTTTCCCAATACCTGTTAGAGACACCCCACAGCTCCCCATGGTGTGACCCCCACTCCCTGGGACAAGGAATAATCCCAGCTCACCCAACTACAGTGTGTCTGGTGGCCTTGGCAGGGCACTGACATCTCTTTTACAGACGGACAAATTCTGCATGGGCTGGATGCTGTCAGGAAGCAGGGGTATCTAAATGAGTGATACCTGTGAGGGGCAGGGCGGAGGGAGGCTCAGCTGTGCTGAGGCAGGAGCAGGCCTCACTGCTGTGGGCTGGGAGAGGGCACGCTGGTGGCACAGAGACCTGGTTTTGGCTTCTACCTGGACACAGTTAAGATGTGGCCTTTGTCACAGTGCAGCTTTTCTGCCAGATGTGTGTGTCCAGCAGGACAACCTTGCCGTGAGCCCAGGCCAACTCCCATCGTCAGGGCTGCCCTTCTTCCTGGAGAGCATGCTAATATCTACTCCAAGGAAATAATCTCTGTAAAGCGCTTAGCATGATGCTCTACAAAGACCAATACTGATGGTATGTTGTCTATTATTTATATTAGGAAGACCACTCCGCAGAGCAGAGGGAGGGGTGGTGAGATGCCTGGCCGCATAGAGAGGAGGGAAGCAAGGCCTAGGCAGGGTGGGGTGGATGGAGGGCGTATCCCCTCACAGCAGGGAGGGGGTCAAGGATGGCTCCAGGACCTCTGTAGTTTGAAACAGTCACAGACTATCGCAGGCAATCAGGTAGGAAGGGCTCTGAGAACCAGTGTGACCGTCACTAGGTTGGCGGCAACCACAGGGCCGCCGATTCGGGGCTGTGGACCACCAGGAGAAGCAAGCCTTCCCTGGAACATGGAAAGTGGTGGAAACTATGCCCCCAAGTGGAGCTCAAGTCTGGGGAGGAGTGTGGGGCAGGAGGGCCCCAGGCAGCGGTGCTGCACCTGCTGAGTATGAGGGCTCCCTTCTAGGACTGTGTCTAAAGAAATGGCTCTGCTGCTAAAGACTCAGTTGGAGAACCTACGTGAGGTTGGGCTGAGCAAAAGGAGGTTCGGGCAGATTTCACGAAGTTTACTGGGTAGGCCGGGCAGGTGGCCCACAAGGGATGTGTGGCATCGGGGCAAAAGGCGCCCCCGCGTCGGTGGGTGGCCGGGGAAGTAACACCGAGCATCTGCCAGTGGGCCAGGATGCAGGGGCACGCCACTTCTGAGACGCAGCATGACAGGAAGGGCTGATCAGGATGCGGCGTGGGAGGCGGCGGTGAAGCCAGTGAGGGTGGGTGTGCAAGTCGGGGCTGTGTGGACCCCTCGCAGGGGTGGGCATGGTAGGGGCTCCTGCCCACTTCAGCTCTCCCTGGCCTGCAGCCATTGGACCCTCTCTTGGCACAGCTGGATCCTTCCGGTCCTGCAGATCTTCGCTGGAATGTCCCTTCCGCGTCATCCAAGCCACAGTAGCCACCGCCGCCGCCGCCAGTTGCTGTCCATCCCCTGTGTTTTCATTTCTTCCTCACCGGTCGGTCCCCTCCTGGAAGGTCACTTCCAAGGAGTGAGCCCTGCCTGTCGTGGTCACAGCTGAGTCCTGGCTTGCGGTGGGGCGCGGAACAGTTAACGCTCACCTGCGGCTGCCCTTTGACTTCCGCCTCCCAGCGGAGCGCGTGGCCGGCCGGGACGTCTGGATGGGGCCCTCCGCTGCGCCGTTGCCCCTTTAAACGCTGGACCCGGGCGCACGCGCAGTAGGGCGTTCGGGCGCGCAGGCGCAGTGGCGCGGTGGATGTTTACGGCGGCGGAGGTCGGGGCTGCGTAGTGGGAGGCGGACTGGCGAGGGGCGCCAGAAGAGCTGCAGGTGCGGCCCAGCGGCCGATTCCGCGGGCCCGCCGAGCCAGGAGGTACTGAGCCGCCGCCGCCGCCGCCCTCGGCCCGGCCCGCAGCGGGGTATGGGGGCGGTGCGGCCCCTCGGCCCCCTCCCCCTCTCTCCCTCCTCTCCACCCCTCCCCTTCCCGTGGTCCCGGGCTCCCGGACCCTCCCCCAGGGCCGCATTCTCCTCTCCCCGTCTTCCTGTCCTCTTCCGCTGTCCTCTCGTTCCCCACCCCCAAGCATAAACACCCCTCCGCGTCCCAGGCGTCTCCCGTCGCCCCTCCCCCCTCCCCGGGGGTCCGCCCTCCAGCGTTCCGGGGGTTCCCGAGGTCTCCCCAGGTGCGCATTGCTTACACCCCTTGGGTTGACTTAATTCTCCAGACGCGTAGCTCGTCCCTGACTTACTAAGTAGGAAACATTTGCAATTAGCACGGCAAGTGGAGAGTTACCAAGGTTTGAAACAGGTGGTACCTTTTCAGAAGGTGACAGTCTGTTAAGGAAGTATTGGCCCTTCAAGCCTTGGGGACTTAGCTTCAGGCAAGACCTGAAAGACGCCTTCCGTTGGGAAAGGAGAGCTCGCCGGGCTTTGGTGCGTGTGTTTTGTTTGTGTTTGCGAGGGCCTGTGTCTCCCAAGTTGATGTTTGCACATCAGAGAGGTCCTTTATCTCCCCCCTTCGCTCATGTGCTTGTCAACGTTTTCTTCGTTCTTTTTGACCAAGGAGGGGCTGAAGTAAACAACTGCATTCTCAGTGTTGGGTAGACCGGCAGGTTCCTGTATAAACAAGTCGGAACTTGTGGCTCTGCTGGGGGGAAATAGAGCCATACGCTAGGGTGGGAGGGGCCCTTGGAGATGGTGGGTTTCGGCTCCTGAGACCAGCGCCTGGGCCCCCTCCCTGCTTGTACTTGGCGCGGGACATCCCTGGCGGGGAGAGACTCCTCGTTCTGACAACGTGTCAGTATTTTCAGTTCCAGTTTTAGAAAGCATTTTTTTGTGTGTTTAGCAGAAATTATCTCCATCCGACACGTGTTCCACTGGCTTGGCTTTTATCAGGCTCGTGTATAGTGTGTATATGGCAGCCTTTCGAGTACTTGGGAAAAAAAATCCCTCTGCATTCCTTGTGAGAGTTTTGGTTTTCAAAATGAAAGAAGTCTCCATTTCTTCCATTATTCCTGCGGCAGGAGGTGTGGTTTTGGTTCCTTCTCCCCAGCTCATCCAGCTGAATTACTTTGTCCATGTTGCACTTAATAAGTAGCCTAATAAACCCAGCGTCGACTTGAATCTTGGCCCCGGCTATCAGAGCTGCATGCTCCGTTAGCCTGGCCGCTGTCACAGCCTCCTCGATTGTCCACCTGAGACCTTCCGATGCCTGGTCCTGCTCCAGATGGATGAGCGCCGTCTCCTCCCTGTGCCCTTACGGCTGGTTTTGGAAGAAGCAGCATTAGAGTAAGGCTTTCTTGTTGGGTGGTGCCCGGTTACTGCGGAGCGGTGAATTCAGGGTTGCAAAGTATAGTCGAGTGCAGCATCCGAAAAATGACTTGCCATTATTTTGAAAAATTGAATTTGAGTGGCTTGTAGGTCCAGATTTGGTTTGGCAAGGACACCTCTTAACCTGTTGTTGGTGTTTTTGGTGGCGTTAGGACTGATCACATTCGTGGTCAGTAATAAGCAGTGATTGTTTGCAGTGTGAGGGAGTGTTAGATTGCCAGGGAAAGTTAATAGTAAATATCAGATCCTACAGGTTATCACGTGCAGCCTACCAGTGGCAGCAGATAGGGTTACCACGTAGTTATTTCGTCTGTCATTTTGGGTAGAGATTACCAGTGTGTTCATTGGTAAAGAATTTTGCTCCCTTGAGGATTTTTTAAAGCTGTATTTGGTGTGGGGTAAAGAACATAGGCCCGGGGTTGAATGGCAGCCCTGTCCTTTCACACTGGTGTGTGATCACGGGAATAACTTCTCAGTCCCAATATGCCTAATAATGTCGTAAAGCCAAAATGAGGTCGTGACGGGCAGGTGGTGCCTGTAAAAAGGTTGTAGTTGGTTGCTAGTTTTACTAAAAACCTAGCCTTTGCACGTGGAATAAACTTTCAAAGTGAGGCAAAGTTGAAAATAAGGGATAAATACTTAATAGACAATGAAACATACCCAACATATACTTCGTGTTTGCTTTCTGAGGATAGAACATTATACTTTGCGGGCTTCTGGGTGAAGAGGTGGCTTTCAGGTCTGTCCTGGAGGATGTGTGGGTGCCAGACATTTCCCTGAAGCAAGCAAACATGACCCGACTTTTAACTAGTGACCCCAATTTTAAGATGACTGTCCAAGACTAGGGCTATAGGCCTTAGCCTCAGAACTAAGTGGCTCGCCCAGGATTAAACTTGACCTCATTAGCGCTTTATCCCATCTGGCAGAGTTAACTGGTGGTGGAGTGTAACCAGGAAGGACTGTGAAACAATTTAGAGTGGGGGTGAGAATCTAATAATTGGAAGATCCTAGTGATTTGGAAGTCTAATATTCAGCTCTAAAATCTTTAATTTATTTTATATATTTTTATTTTTTAAATTAAATAAATAATTTTTATTTTTGGCTGTGTTGGGTCTTCGTTGCTGCACTTGAAATATTAAAAGAGGTTGATATTAGAATGATTTTCTAGTAGACATATCTGCTCTCTTTTTATGTTTACATTCAATGATTTTTCCATATGTGGATATATACCTGTTAAGATAGATACATATTCGGGATTTCCCTGGTGGTCCAGTGGTAAAGAATCTGCCTTACAATACAAGGGACGCAGGTTTGATCCCTGGTCGGGGAACTAAGATGCCACATGCAGCGGGGCAACTAAGCCCGTCACCATAACCACTGAGCTCGTGTGCCTCAACTAGAGAGCCTGAGTGCTGCAAACTACAGAGCCCACGTGCCCTGGAGCCTGCGCGCCACAACTAGAGAGAGAAAACCCACATGCCACAACTAGAGAGAAGCCCGCATGCCGCAATGAAAGAGCCCACATACCGCAACTAAGACCCGACCAAAAAAAAAAAAAAAAAAAAAGAGATAGGTGTATATTCAAGATGATTTTAATCCTAAATGCTTGACTTTCTAGAATGATGACTTTTAGTAAAGTTTTGAATTCATACTTTAATGATGTTTTTAAGTCGTCAGCTATGTTTTAGGTATTGCATGTTCATCTGTATTCAGTCCATACTATAAATTACAAACTTATTTTTGGATGGATATAATTGAATTTCAAATTTAACTTTTTTTTTTTGAATCTGGCATTCTTGGGAGTGGAGGAGGGTAAGGTGGGAGGGGTGGGTGATGACTAAATATATTCCATCTGTATTACTTTCAGAATTCAGAATCTGAAATTGGTATGTGTTTAGAACTTTTATTGCTCCGCTCTAACCTTTAGTATGAATTGCCCTTTTAAAAATCTTAAAGCGGCAGCTTTCCGTAAGCGCGGTCCCGAAGATGGGAGGCGCGGTGAGTGCTGGTGAAGACAACGACGAGCTGATAGACCATCTGAAGGCGGCGCAGTACATCCGCTCCGAGCTGGTGGAGCAGGCCTTCCGAGCTGTTGACCGCGCCGACTATTACCTCGAGGAGTTTAAGGAGAACGCGTACAAGGACTTGGCGTGGAAGCACGGGAACATCCACCTCTCCGCTCCGTGCATCTATTCGGAGGTGATGGAGGCCCTGGACCTGCAGCCTGGCCTTTCCTTCCTGAACCTGGGCAGCGGCACCGGCTACCTCAGCTCCATGGTGGGGCTCATCCTCGGTGAGTCTGGCTCTGTCCCACGTAGGAGGGAGAGCCTGCCGGCAGCGTGTCCTTTTGTGGAGACCGAGTTGTAACTGCCCTCGGCCTTCCCGGCCGTCGTGGTGTCCACACAGTCCCTGGGTGGGGGGTGATTGTGTTAATCGAGAAATCCCCGTAAGGAACAGAGGGGTCCTTCTGAAGCTTTCCTGTCCCCCCAGCCTGCACCTCCAACATCTGATCGGCACACCCACCTTTTGGACGACGGAGGACCTAGACATTGTATAAATCTGGACCTCATGGTCATTTCTCAATTAATACAGTCACTCAGTCTGCCCTGTCATGGTCTCTAAACTGGGAATAGTTAACTGTAAAGTCCCCTGGAAGTTAAAGTTCTTCCAAGCAGTTTTTGTTTTTGTTGTTTTAATACTAAAAAAGTTAATACTTTAAGTTGTTTGTTTTTAAATATATTCCAGGGATGGGAAGGATTTCACAAGTTATCTCATTCGAAGCCATTTAGCCTGTTTTCCCAGGTTTGCTAAATATCAAAGCTTTCGGCTTAAGTATCTTAACATCGTTACCGGGTCAGTGTTCCAAGATTCTGAATATCGGCGATTTCAAGTAATAACGGCTTTAAAGTCATGTTTAAATCATTAGCGATCCATCACAATATTGTTTCTTTGTGGTTGATACAGGCACTTAAGAAAATCTTAGCAGTAACAGTTGCTTTTTGTGGATACGGAATGAAACTTTTGGTTTCTTTATAAGTTCATATACTTTAGAATTTGCTGAAGTTTTGAGATTCTGATCATCTGACTTTAGGCTATAAGTTGCTACCCTCAGATTATTAAATGTGAAGTTTTTTTTTTTTTAACCTAATGCTTTTTGAACTTAACTTGGATTGAAACTGCTTTGCAAAGGGAGCCCGGGTTATTCATCATTCCGGAATTAGTGAATTATAATTCCCTCTGTTGGAGCTGAAAAATTGGAGGAGCTAAGGATAAGGTGGTCAGGTTATCAAACTGGTTAGATTAGAAATGCTATTGAAAAGAAATGAAATGCTCAGGAAAAGGTGACTTAAAGTAAACCTCAGCTGACCTGCTGCACTTGATGTTGTGTAGAAGTTATAAAGAAATGGCTTACAATTGATGTTGTTGTTTGTCTTTTCTGAGTCCCCTCTTTCTTGGGAATTTCACTAGTTATTAGGGGAGGAGAGTTCTGAAGGAAGGAAAGCTGTGTTTTCGGCCGCAGTGGACACTGCGTGGTGCTCTGATGTATTTGAAGGAGGTAACTTGAGAGTTTGCATCCGCGGGTAGCCATCTTGGATCTGCAGGGAGAAAGCTGTGCGCACTGGACCGTTCTCACCGTCTGGATGCTGTGTGTCCTGGGCCTCCCTGTCTGGTTCATTCAGCCGTGACGGTGCTTCGTGCAGATCACTGCAGAGGTGAAAACCTTGCTGGCCTCCCAGTGCCTGCAGATGTGAGGCTTGAAGTGTTTCGTTTGACTTAGGGGTTCTTACTCTCTGACCGCAGCCTTTCTGCCACATTCCTGTGCTCATTCTGCGGCTCCACCCCTTTGCTGAGGGTGCTCCCTTCGTGAGGTCCCAGTTGGCGGTGGGGAGGACGCAGCACTTGTCAGCTTAACCTGAAAGTGTCGTGTGATGCCCTGCTTGGGGGGCCTTGTGGGACTAGTTTCAGTGTTGTGTCTTTGGTGCCACCATTCTGCCCGCCCCCTGTACTCCCTCCGCTTTTAGTTCTCTTTTTATTGGGGTGGGTCAGGGGATATGTGTTTTTAGTCTGGTGTGAAGCTTCTTGGGAATAGGAGTGTGTCCTCAATAAGTGCCTAACAAAGGTGAGGGGCTGATGAGAACATGATGAGTGGGGGAAAGAAGGCAAGTTTTCTTGGTCTCTGGCAAGTGACCAAGAGAGCAGTGGGGATGGAAACGGAGTAATGTGGATGTGACATAAACACTGGAAATGTGACTTCTCAGGTAGGCTGTGGTTTTTCTTTTTATAACTATGTTTATTCTTTTTTAATGGTATTTTATTTATTTATTTAATTTATTTTTGGCAGCGTTGGGTTATTTATTTATTTATTTAATTTTTATTTATTCTTGCTGTGCACGGGCTTTCTCTAGTTGCAGTGAGCGAGGGCTACTCTTTGTTGCGGTGTGCGGACTTCTCATTGCAGTGGCTTATCTTGTTGCAGAGTGTGGACTCTAGGTGAGTGGACTTCAGTAGGTGTGGCACGTGGGCTAAGTAGTTGTGGCTCGCGAGCTGTAGAGCGCAGGCTCAGTAGTTGTGGCGCACGGGCTTAGTTGCTCTGCGGTATGTGGGATCTTCCTGGACCAGGGTTCGAACCCGTGTCCCCTGCATTGGCAGGCGGATTCTTAACCACTGAGCCACCAAGGATGACTGTAGGCTGTGTTTTGATGAGAGAATGTTACAGCAGCAGCTCTGTACGTGACAGGTGTTGAGAAAGGAGAGCGCGTGAGTCATCCAGCAGAGGCAGGGAGGCCTGGGCCTGGGGCCAGGCTGCTGCACCAGGAAGGGGCCAGATGAACCAAGTGGCAGAGTGCAAAGCTGTGGGCGCACAGAGGGTTGCATTTACCAGGATTTCTGTTGGACTGTAGGGTTGAATGCTGCACTGTGACTTTATATGTATGTCTTTTATTTATTTTTTTATAAGATGTTTTTGATGTGGACCATTTTTAAAGTCTTTATTGAACTTGTTACAGAATTGCTTCTGTTTTATGTTTTGGTTTCTTGGCCCCGAGGCGTGTGGGATCTTAGTTCCCCAACTAGGGATCGAACCCGCACCCCCTGCATTGGAAGGCGAAGTCTTAACCACTGGACCGCCAGGGAAGTCCCTGTATGTCTTTTAAATAAAGCCCTATGTGCCCTGTTCATTTTCACATGCAGATTTTTTTAAATTGAGGTATAACTTAGCCGTAGTAAAGTACCAAGTGTGAAGCGTGGAACTTGGTGAGTTTTACATCCACCTCCATGTAAGCATCACCCAGAACAAGATGCAGAGTAGAGTCTGTGCCCCAGAGGTCCTCATGGCCACCGCCCCATAGCAGGACCCCACCCCTCCAGAAGGGGGAAGATGCTCACCTCCATCACACAGATGAGCGTTACCTGTTTTGACCTTCATACAAATGTTTTTATTTTAATTTAATTCAATTTAATTTATTTTTTAATTTCTTCTTTGCATTTTTTTTAAAATTTATTTTTGGCTGCATTGCGTCTTCGCCACTGCACGAGGGCCCTCTCCAGCTGCGGCGAGCGGGGGCTGCTCCTCGTTGCGGTGCGCGGGCCTCTCACCGTGGCGGCCTGTCCTGCTGCGGAGCACGGGCTCCGGGCATGCGGGCCCCAGCAGTTGCGGCAGGCGAGCTCAGCACCCGTGGCTCGCGGGCTCCAGAGCGCAGGCTCAGCAGCTGTGGCACACGGGCCCAGCTGCTCCGCGGCATGTGGGATCCTTCCGGACCAGGGCTCGAAGCTGTGTACCCTGCACTGGCCGGCGGACTCCCAACCACTGTGCCACCAGGGAAGCCCTATTTTTATTTTTTATTTTAAAAAAATTTTTGGCTGTATTGGGTTTTCATTGCTGCACGTGGCTTTCTCTAGTTGTGGTGAGCGGGGGCTACTCTTCATTGTGGTGCGTGGGCTTCTCATTGCGGTGGCTTCTCTTGTTGCAGAGCACGGGCTCTAGGCGCATGGGCTTCAGTAGTTGTGGCACGTGGGCTCAGTAGTTGTGGCTTGCGGGCTCTAGAGCGCAGGCTCAGCAGCTGTGGCACACGGGCTTAGTTGCTCTGCGACACGTGGGATCTTCCCGGACCAGGGCTCGAACCCGTGTCCCCTGCGTTGGCAGGCGGATTCTTAACCACTGCGCCACCAGGGAAGTCCGACCTTCATACAAATGGATTCTTACAACACAGAGATTTAACGAAGCTGTTTGTGTCAATAGTTCTCACCGAGATTTAACCCAGAGGCGTTTGTATGTGGAGGAAGCGCTTTCATCAAGTGGGCTCCTAACTTTTCTCACAGCTTTATTTCCAGTTACTGATAAATTTCTTTTGATTAAAAAAGTTTCATTTTGATTTTGGAATTATAGTTTTATTTTAATGGTGATTAAAACCTATTTTGTGAGACTTAAACACCATATCTGACTGTTTGGGGAGACCTTTGATGGAAAACAGGCCTGTGTCCACTTTCATTTGCAAATACATGTTTCTTCTTTAATTCATTAGTGGCACTTTGAACTCTTGGTTACAGGCCTTGGCTTTTTTACATTTTCAAATGATTCCGTGGAAGTTTGAGGACAGGGAGGTCCAGGCTTTAGGAAGCTGTGGGAAAGAGTATTGGTGATGTGGTGAGCAGAGGCCAGCCTGCGTATTTTAATATTGGGCTGGGTGATTTAGGCCCAATAACGTGTATTTCTGTAATTATACATGCCAAATCAAATGTGTTGTAGTCTATGAAACAAATAAAGAGTAGGGGTTCTCGCCCTAATTCTACATGTTTTCTTATCCTGAAACCTTTTAGGTCCTTTTGGTGTGAACCACGGGGTGGAACTCCATTCAGATGTGACAGAGTATGCGAAGCAGAAGCTGGACTTTTTCATCAGGACAAGTGACAGCTTCGACAAGTAAGATCAAATCTGTCTGTGGTTCTGGGTGTCAGTTATAACTTAAACTTTGGATTAAATGGAAAGAAATCAGTTTATTACTGTTCGTGTTCCAGGAAACATGATTAAACTGTGGCAGGAGAGTCAGGGATATGTGTGTATCTGTTCTAATTATTCTTAAAATATTTTGTGTTTTTAAGGGCCTTACGTTATTTATTTATTTATTAATTTTTATTTTCTTTACAAATTTATTTATTTATGGCTGCGTTGGGTCTTCGTTGCTGTGCACAGGCTTTCTCTAGTTGCGGTGAGCAGGGGCTACTCTTTGTTGCGGTGTGCGGGCTTCTCACTGTGGTGGCTTCTCTTGTTGTGGAGCACGGGCTCTAGGCGCACGGCTTCAGAAGGTGTGGCACGTGGGCTCAGAAGTTATGACATGCTGGCTCAGTAGTTGTGGCACAGGGGCTTTAGAGCGCAGGCTCAGTAGTTGTGGTGCACGGGCTTAGTTGCTCCGCGGCATGTGAGATCTTCCCAGACCAGGGCTCGAACCCGTGTCCCCTGCGTTGGCAGATGGATTCTTAACCACTGCGCCACCAGGGCAGCCCAAGTTTTTTAATTATGATACCTGAAGGTAATTTCTCACCAGTATAAGAGAACAAATAGAATGTTCATTTTTCCCAATTTTCGTGTTTCCAGTAGAGACAACATTTTATCGCCTACTTGTTTGCAAAATGGAATTGTTGCATTTGTCTTTATTTTTTTATTTTAAATTTATTTATTTATTTTGGCTGTGCAGGCTTTCTAGTTGCGGCGTGCGGGCTTCTCTAGTTGTGGTGCATGGGCTTAGTTGCAGTATGTGGGACCTTAGTTCCCTGACCAGGGCTCGAACCTGGGTCCCCTGCGTTGGGAGCGCGGAATCTTAACCACTGGACCCCCAGGGAAGCCCCACATTTGTCTTTAAATGGCGCCATGTAGCTGGCTCTTGCATTTTAAAACAAAGCGTTAAAGTTCTTATTTTAGGGATTAAAATTTTTAGAAAAACCAAATATAATTTTCCCTCTTTTTACTCGGTTAGTAGATCTTGAATAAGATAATAAAGATAGAAGATAATAAAATAAGATAATAAAAATAGCCAGTAGTGATGCTTGGAGCTTGGGTGATTTAAGCTTGGATTGCGCCTATGATATTGACTTTCACAATATTTGGTTTGGAATTTCTAGGGTTCTGCTTATTACTAGCGTAATTCTTCCTGAAGTCTGGTGTCCAGCTTCTGCCTCTGATTTTGCTGTGTTGCTGTGGGACTGTGCAATGGAAACATACCTGTGTTTAGTGTAGATTTACTATATAGGCTTGTTCTAATGTGATATATTTAGTTGTGGAAAACATTGTTTGCTTCAGGTTTGACTTCTGCGAGCCCTCCTTCGTCACCGGCAATTGCCTGGAGATCTCTCCAGGCTGCTCTCAGTATGACCGGGTGTACTGCGGGGCAGGCGTGCAGAAGCAGCACGAGGGGTACATGAAGAGCCTCCTCAAAGTCGGGGGCGTCCTGGTCATGCCGCTGGAAGAGAAGGTCAGGTCCCCACGTAACCCACGGTTTTGCACACTTAGCTGCCTGCCAGCGTCGGTTCCGGGGATCTGACGTGCACTTTCCTTCGTAACTCTTGTAACAATGTCCTCCATTTCACTGAGGAGGAGACAGGCCGTAGAGGCAGCCAAGGCGGGGCAGGTCCTGACTCAGGCGGGCATCCCAGAGCCTGCACTGCAAGGCTGACCTGCCGCCCTCTCTCTCCTCCCTCCTCGTCTTTTCTGTCCTCTCCCCCTCCTCCCCCCGCCCCCCCTTAGCTATTCTTTTATGCTTTTTCTAGTATTGGAATTACAGTACACATAAAAAAAATATTAGAGTAATTCTATTTTGGTAGCTCGTCTAGTCGTTAAATTCCATGGTGGCGGGTACTGTACAGAACCCCTTGCTGAGTGGGAATCTCGTCCAGGTCTACTTGGCTACGCATGTTTCTGTATGTTTTAGATACTGTGTTTCATTGGGAAAACAGATTGCAATAAGTGAGCAACCTAACCGTCCCAAACAACTAGGAAAAACAGAAGTGACAAATGTTAGGAGACTGTGCGCTTTGGTGAAATTCTCTTCAGTTTTAAAATATTAGCATTCAATTCATTTTGTTTGAAAAGTAATTATTTATTTTAGAAAATCCAGAAGATGTGAACATTAAGAAAAACTATTCACAGTCCCTAAAGACTGTTAGCGTGTGATTCTTGTAGCCCTCTCCTCTTCGTCTGTATCCTTTCAAAAAGGTTATTGTACACTAAGGTGTTTTACTTAACAGAGTTTGTGAATATGATTTTAAGTTACTTAATATTCCACACCATCGTTTTTTAGTGCTTATGTGGTAGCCGGCTGAACCATTGACCAGTTAATTATCTGGCTCCTATAATCAGACATTAGGTTGTATGTCGTTTTTATTGTTATTTACTGTTATGTAAAGACTGTAGTGAACGTCCTTAATAAAAAAAAAAGAAAGAAAGAAAATATTCTTCAATATTTCAGTTTGTATCTGCAAAAGATAAGGGCTCTGTGTTTTTAAACTTCATAACAAAACCGTTATCAGCCTAAAAAAGTTAATAGTAATTCCTTAATATCTTGAAGCGTCCAGCTAGCATTCAGGTTTTCCTGATTGTCTCAAAACCAGGCTGAACAGCTTACTTGAATGGGACCCCATTTAGGGCTGTGTCCTGCACTTGGTGGATTACCTCTTTGGTGTTGTTAATCTCCAAGTTTTCCTTCTTTCTTGCAATTTATTTGTTGAAGCAATCAGGCCATTTGCCTTCGAGAGGTTCCCGCTGCTGTTTAGTGGGGGCGAGATGGTCTCTTTCCAGTTCCCACCCTCCAGAAACCACAGCCCAGGACTCCGTTAGGCTGAAGCATCGCAGCTGGTTGTGAGGGTCTCTAACGACTTGTACTTGAGAATCGCCCCATCTCCTTACGTTTCCCCCGCCACGTGCACTTTTTCTGTAGAGTCCAAGAAGGTTGTCTCATCAGAATCCCCACATTCCTTCTCTGATTGTTTCCTCTTGTCACCCGTTAACTTCTTTCCCTGTTAGATATATTTTCTGTACTAGCAGCTTGAGTATATTTGCAAGAATATCATTAAGTTACGTGTAATTCTTGTCACATCGCATTATGGGCACATTGCAGGCCCGTATTGTCAGGGTTTTTCATTTTTAGTGTCTGTGTTTTTTCAGGTTGTGTATAGGAATGATTATATTTAAATCGACACTACCAGTAGTCAGACCTGTTGAATCTTCTCGTTTTGTCTCTGGGATAGTTGACTAAGATAACTCGGACGGGTCCTTCCGCCTGGGAAACCAAAAAGATTCTGGCTGTGTCTTTTGCTCCACTCGTCCAGCCCTGCCAGTCGGAGTCAGGAGAATCAAGACTTGTCCAGTTACGTGAGTATGAAGATTCTTGCTTACTGTTTAGATCTTTTCACTGTCATTAGAATTTGAAGAGAAATAAAATTCATAAGAAACCTTTTAATGTTAAAGAACACTTTTCCACCCATTGAAGCCTTTAAAGTTTTACAAGTGATGTTTAAAAAGTCACTCAAAAAATTATAGTCTACGTTTAGCCTATTTCGGGTTATTTTAGGATGTTTGTGCTTGCTATTCAAGGATGAAAAGGAACCCCTAGAAAGAAAGAGAAGGGAAGAGAAGCATGAGCAGAGGCACACTGGCCGTGAGCTGGACGTCGCTGGTGTGCGGGGCACGTGTGCCGGGGACGTCCGGGTTAGGGTCAGGGTCAGGGTCAGGGTCAGGGTTAGGGTTAGCAGTGTTTGGCTGCCCTGTGTTATTTGAAGCCACGGGATGGATGTCAAACCAAGGACTAATAGGCGTAAGCGGAGAGGAGCTCGCCAGAGTGGGGGTCGTGGGAATGTGAGGTGGGCAGGTGGGTTAGACCCGAGTTTATCATGTAGGTGGTAGAGTCCGTCCCATGTTTTAAATAGAAGATGTGGGGACTTCCCTGGTGACACAGTGGTTAAGAATCCACCTGCCAGTGCAGGGGACACAGGTTCGAGCCCTGGCCTGGGAAGATCCCACATGCCGCGGAGCAACTAAGCCCGTGCGCCACAACTACTGAGCCTGCGCTCTAGAGCCCTCGAGCCACAACTACGGAGCCCATGTGCCACAACTACTGAAGCCCGCGCACCTAGAGCCCGTGCTCTGTAATAAGAGAAGCCATCGCGATGAGAATCCTGAGCACTGCAATGAAGAGTAGCCTCTGCTCGCCGCAACTAGAGAAAGCCCGCGCGCAGCAACGAAGACCCAACGCAGCCAAAAAATAAAAAACAACCCCCCCCAAAAAAAAACTCTAAATAGAAGATGTGGCACCTCTGTATTCTGGATTCCCTGGTGGTCAGGGGAGGGTGAATTTGTCAAATGTGTGCTCCCTGAAAATCCCACCGGAATGGGTAGGCAGGCACTGCCCGTGGGTGGGGAGGGCACGGCCTTCCAGAGCCCCTGCAGAATTTCAGAAGGTGAGGTCACAGGTGGGATCTACGACAAGTGTCTTGATCATGCCTGGGTAAGAATCATGAAGACGTGGAGGGTACCCCGAGATGTGGGTTTTGAGGCTTCAAAGCAGACGTGGCACAATGAACAATGTCGATGCTATTTAGGGCTCCTGAAGGGAACTTGTGATCTTGTCTCCCGGACCAGAGGTTCTTAGACGAGTAGAGTCACGTCGATGAGGGCAGTGCGCACGGAGGCCGTGAGGATGTGGTCGTGTGCTGCACAGGGGATGGGGTCAGCTCTCGGATGGACGGGTGAGTGACCAGACTGCAGGCTGAGCTGGTCAGGAGGCCGCTGGGATTTTCTGGGCAAGAGATAAAGACTGAAGCTAAGACACGGGGCTCCAGTGGCAGGGGCTCAGGAGGCGTGTAGGGCCTGTCTGAGGAGGGAGATGGGCCTGAGGTGGCTGGCATGTTATGGAGGCGGGTCTGCAGGAGGCCCTGACCCCAGCAGGACTGGGTTAGAACCTGGGGAGCCTTTGGCTGCCCTGTGTTATTTGAAGCCACGGGATGGATGTCAAACCAAGGACTAATAGGATAAGCGGAGAGGAGCTCGCCGGGCTGGGTGGAAGAGGAGGAGGCCAGGGGATGAGGCGGCCCCCACCGACGGCACCTCGGGGTGAGCTGGAGAGGCCAGAGCTGGCCCTTGGGAGGTCTGAGAAGGGGGCAACAGCAAGTGGAGTGGTGGGGGAGGAGTGCTGCCACCACCTCCTGCTCGGTGTGGCGGGGTGTGAGGGCCGGGCGAGTGCAGTGTCCTGACAAAGGGGAGGAGGGTGCTGCGAGCCGGGGGCGCCTCCAGGGCATTGGGCGCTGAGCAGGTTCTGCTCGGGCCTCTGTGATTCTGGTCAGAGATGTGGGCAACAGAGGAGCCCTTCGAATAGTCTGCGTTGTTACTTTTTGGAGAAGTTAGGTTCGGGGGGTAAGAAGTGGTGCTGACTTTCAGTGTCATGCATGTAAGCACATGGCCCCTAGTGATTCTCTTCCCCTCAGAAGAGCCCTTGTGTTGCCACGTGTGTATTGCCTACACATTTGCCCAACTTGAGCTTTCATTACCAGATTTTAGTTTTCCTTGATGTGCTTTGGGACTTTTGTTCTTAAAAATGTTTTGGAACTGCTTTTTCTCTACTTTAATAAAAAAGGAACAAATTCTTAAATTTCTGAAATACTGTGAAAATATTAAAACAGATAAAAGAATTGTAGAGCCATGTGGTCACTGTATTTCTACTGGATGAGACAATGCATCACTGAACACGGCAAATAGGGAAATGAAGCCGGTTGTCAAAGAACCAAACGCTGTAACCCTGGTTCTTATTCTTCCATTGATTGATTAGCCAAGCAGTACTGCTTCCTTTTCTTATCTGATTTAAAGGTCAGTGCATTTGAAAATATCTTTTGAAAAATACCATATGAATGCAAATTAGAGTATAATTAACATTGGCCTACAGCACTGTCCTATTCTTGTAATGTGTTTGTAAATATGCCAGTAAATGAAAATGTGGTTAGAATTTTCTCAGGTGTCTAGACCTTGTGGTGTCACGAGGGTGAGGCTGACGGTCTCGCTGTCTGCACAGCACCCCTGGCGGTTCGCAGCCTCCAGGACCTGGCGCGCATTGCCATCCGGGGCACCATTAAGAAGGTCATCCACCAGGAAGCTGTGAACAAAAACGGGAACGGACTGAAGAACACTCCCAGGTTTAAACGGAGGAGAGTTCGCCGCCGCCGAATGGAAACGATTGTCTTTTTGGACAAAGAGGTGTTTGCCAGTCGGATCGCCAACCCCTCTGATGACACCAGCTGCGGAGACCTGGAAGACGAGCGGCAAGAAGAAGAGGTGACAACCCCGCCGGACACCAAGCCCGAGCCCCCGGTGAACTTCCTGCGTGAGAAGGTCCTGAGCCTCCCTCTGCCAGATCCCCTGAAGTACTACCTGCTTTATTACAGAGAAAAGTAAGTCTGTGGTCCAGGGGAGGAGGCGAAGCCTTCCTGGAGGGCTGCCCACAGCAGGTGCACTGGAGGAGGAAGGGGCTCCTGCTCTGCATCTCGTCTTCTCGTCTGTCCTTGACTGTCCTGTAGAGTTTTCATCCAGTCATCTGATTTCTGTAAACACAGTCTGACAAACATAAGGTGCAAGGGGGAATGTCTCAAAAGGGCGAGAGTCTCCTGGAGGAGGGGTTGACTTCACACTCTCAGGAAATGCTGAGGTCTACACGTGGAGGTGGCCTGGAGACCGTTTCTTACACAAGGTACACGTGTCTGCATCAGAAAGGAAAACTGAAGTTGAAATTAACCTGTGTTTCTTATAAAAGGTGAGAAAAAAAGCACAAGTTGCTAAATGTATAAAATCTTTTCTGAGTGGGACATGCCTATGTGCAAGTTTGAATTTTACGGTATCAACCTCTTAATTACTGGCACCGAGTAATTAAAGATTTATTAAAAGATTAATTTAAAAGATTTAACTAAATGTTTTAGTTATTTGGAACGTGGATACTTGATTGAAAAGCCCTCTCTTATTTTAAGTAAATTAATTACATCTTACGTGAGTTGTCAATTGTAATTTTAAAAAACAAAAATTGTGATGGGGAGAGGAATGAACGTATCAGATTGCCAGGTGTCTTTGTGGAATTGCAAAAGAATTCCAAGGCATTTTTTTCTGACACCTTTTGTTACCTTTAAAGTAACCAACATTGAGTAATCCCCTCAAAGAAAGTCCTGAAGAATGAAACAAGTGTTGTGTGTAAGTAATGAGCTACATTACTTTTGCCCCAGAGACAGAGAGTACTGTTGACTCAACTTTAAATACAGTCAACGGTGTCTAAGGCTCAGTCCTTACAGCAGGTGGGAAGTACTGGCTGCAGGAAATGGATTGGGGACGATGTAGACGGCCTGTGGGTTGGTGTTTTGTTTTTTTTTTCAGTTGGCTATTGTTCTGTAATCACATAACAGTACTGATTCATAGATTTTATCTTTTATAATTCTGGAGAAAAATATTTGTTAGTTTTGTAATTTTTCCTAAGAACAAACGCGTGTTTGGTACATTGCATTAGAACAGTTTCACTTAAGTTTGACTTGTGGAATCCATCTTCTCCAGCGCTGTGTGTTGAGAGCTTCCTGTCTTATCAAGTCGTGGGTCTAGAAGAAGAGGCCGTCCTTTTAGTTAGGTGGCAGGATGTTTACAAGTGACACTGCTTCTTCCAAAACATTGGTTCTTTTCAGACGTTTCAGTTTTAACCAAAGGCTAGTATAAAATGTTAACACTAACCCCAAATCAGAGTCACCCAGATTTTATGATTCATTTGATCTCTCAGCCTCTCAGGTGTTGCTGGATTTCAGTGTCTTTGTGGTTTTACCAGCTTCGCGGAGTTCTGGTTATTTTGTTTTGCCATTTATGCTTTTTTAAAGTAACTGAGTCATTTTATCACAGAACACTGCGTGCACACATAGCTGGGAAAGCGGGTATATTGCCCTAAATGGGTACCGTTAAGCTGTTGTAAAGAAGGGTTTCTTCATAGTCGTGTTTACCTGCCTCTAACTGAACGTCAAGCCTCGTCGTCTCAGAGAGAAAAGCATGAGTCGCGTTTACTTGCTAAGACTTCGGTTTGCAGATCTTGTTGACGTCATTCTGATTGATTTATAGAGACCTCTGCAACACGTGGACATTTTTGGACATGATATCTGAAATATTTTATATTAGGTGGCTTGACTAAATTTTTTTCTGTAATTGTGTATGGATTTCCTTTTGTTTCAACCACATTTGCCTTTATGCTAGATTGTAAACAGTCTTTACGAGGCATAAGACATGTTTTCCCCTATGTATGTTAAACCTTGCCTAACATTTTGTATTTACATGTTGGTTTGTGACTTTTAAACCAGAATTTGGTTACAAGATATATATATATAGATATTGAATATAATATATGTGAAATAATTTGGTATTGATCTATCTAATAAACATAAAGGAGAATCATCAGTGAGTTTCCCTGTGTGTCAGCACCTTTCTCCAGAGTCAGTCTGAGACACTACTTTCTGTTTTCAGACAGATGAATTATATATATAGTCTGTGTTGTCTGCAAGCTCTATATTGTAAACCACATTCTAGACAATGGCTGACTTTTATGTTTTGATTAGTCTGTATTTTTATATGTGACTTTCGTCTTGAAAGTAGTACAGCCATAGACATGTGCAAAACAAATAACAAATTTATAAATATTAAGTATATAATACAGAAATCAGCTGTGTATTTAAAAATATTTTTGCCCATCTGGAACTTTCAGGGGATTAATGCAAGAAATATGAAACAAAGGTTTTAATGAACTGATATACAAAAGATACCAATAAAGGTAGTTACGGCACTTTAGCCTTCTTGGCATTGCTTCTGTTTCCTGTGTGGAATTAAAATTCTTGGCTACATTTTTTTTTTCAAAAATGTTTTAAAATAAACTTTAAAAAATTAGAATCAGGGCTTCCCTGGTGGCGCAGTGGTTGGGAGTCCGCCTGCCGATGCAGGGGACACGGGTTCGTGCCCCGGTCCGGGAAGATCCCACATGCCGCGGAGCGGCTGGGCCCGTGAGCCATGGCTGCTGAGCCTGCGCGTCCGGAGCCTGTGCTCCGCAACGGGAGAGGCCACAACGGTGAGAGGCCCGCGTACCGCAAAAAAAAAAAAAAAAAAAAAATTAGAATCCTGTGCTTTCTTTCACCGTTTGCATTATTGCTGAAGTCTGTACCATTCTAGCATACCTAGGGGAGGCGTGATATGTGATTAAACACAGGAAGTTGGAATAGACAGAGTCTGGCTACATGAGAGCATAGGCGTCTGGAGAGAGTCTGGTTAGTTTTCTGGCACGATTTCCCCATATCGTCAAAATGTTAAATAAAAGATATTGGGTAATGGCATCATATCTTGTGGGGCAGCAGGGGGTGAGGATGAGGGTTCAGGGTCGGCGTTGGGGTCAGGCCAGGGCCAGGGTCAGGATTTAGTGTCAGAGTCAGAGGGTCGTGGTCCAGACTTAAAAGTATTGAGGTGCTATTGTAAATGAGCTTTTTTTTTCTTTTTCATTGAAAATTCCAGTTTTTCCTAAACACCGTTGCTGATTGTTTTAATCCATCTGGGCTGCTGTAACAAAACACCAATTGGGTATTTTAGTTGGCTTATGAACAATAAAAGTGTATTTCTCACAGTTCTGGAGGCTGGAAGTCTGAGATCAGGGCACCAGCACGGTTGGGTGAGGGTGCCCTTTCTGGTGGCAGAGTATATTACAGACAGCCCATGCTGCTTTTACTTCAACAGGCCGTTTTTCTGTAAGCACATTAGAGCGCAGTTTGGGGTGGTGAGAGCAAAGCCAGGAGGCCGCTGCCGTCAGCAGCCCTGAGTGAGTGGTGGGAGGCGTGTGGCGGGCTCCGCAGGGACGATTGTCTTCCCACTGCGAGCACAGAGCCCTTGTTTTCTGGACTTTGTCACATGGTTAACCCTAACTGTCTCTGGGAGTTATTTCAGCAGGATGTGTTTTATAGAAGCTTCCCTGCCTTAAGGCTTAGGGACTCATGGTGTTTGGAACCAGGCTCCTTTGTCATGCAGCAAGCCAAATGCTTAGACGCCGAGGTTGCAAGGCAGCCAAGTATGATATCAAATCCACCTCCCCAGAGGCAAGGGGCTTGAGATACTTACGGGATAAGGAAGCAAGGTGGTCTTAGGTGTGGGGAAAGGAGATGGGAGGTAGGGAACAGGTGACGCATGAGTGTATCTGAGTTACCTGCTTCTTCATGCGACTTCAAGGGATTGGAGTAGGGTTCAAATTTTTAGTCTGTTCTGATACGAGCCTATAGTTAAGGGTTAAAGGTGGTGTAGGATCATGGTCAGGTCCAGAGGTTAGGGTTAGGGAGTAGTGTATGGTTCAGAGTTAGAGGGTCAGGATTAAGGATTGAAATTCAGGCTCAGGGACTTCCCTGGTGGCGCAGTGGTTGAGGATCCACCTGCCAATGCAGGGGACACGGGTTCGAACCCTGGGCCGGGAAGATCCCACGTGCCACGGAGCAACTAAGCCCGTGTGCCACAACTACTGAGCCTGCGCTCTAGAGCCCACAAGCCACAACTGCTGAGCCCACACGCCGCAACTACTGAAGCCTGCGTGCTCCAGGGCCCACGTGTCACAACTACTAAGCCTGCATGCTGCGACTACTGAAGTCCGCGCGCCTGGAGGCCATGCTCCGCAACGAGAGAAGCCACTGCGATGAAAGCCTGCGCACCGCAACGAAGAGCAGCCCCCGCTCGCTGCAACTAGAGAAAGCCTACGTGCAGCAATGCAGACCCAACGCAGTCATAAATAATAAAAAAATAAAAGACTTGTACATTTCATTAAAAAAATTCGGGCTCAGTGCTCAGGGTGAGAAGATAGGGTCAGGGTCAGGGCTAGAGGCTTAGGGACAGTATTAGAAGGTCCATTAAGAGGATGAGGTTTTGAGGGATCAGAGTTAAAGGATCTAGGTTAGAGGTTCAGGGTTAGAGGGTTAGGCTAGCTGTAGGTTGGCTCCCCTGCACCTGGAGATACGGGGCCCATGGAGTGGGGACCAGGCAGTACGACTGCAGTGGGGCTCCATTTCCTGGCACATCCTCACCAGGTGTCTCTCAGCGCCAGGAGTGTCCAGCCTTAGGGCCCTAGCCAGCTCTGGGTCTACATCATGTGACTCCAGGTTGGGTCACCGCTGCTGAAAGAATTTACTAAGAATTTCTCTCTCTCTCTCTTTGTAATTTATCATTTTTCTATAGTGGATTATAGCTGATTTACAATGCTGTGTCCCTTTCTGGTGTACATCCACTTGATTCACATAAAGAGAAACATCTACATATTTTTTTCCATACTCTTAGCAGTCTTACGTATTCTCTTCCGGAGATTTCAACGTGTTGAGTTCTATGTGCTATACACTAGGTCCTTGTCGATTACCTATATTGTCCATGAAGGGTATGTATGCTAATTTCAGCCTCCTGGTCTATCCCTCCGTCCACCCCTTTCGTAGCCACAGTTGTGTTTTCTAAATGTGTGTCGCTGTTTGTGTTTTGTAAGTTTGTTCATTTGTATCCATGTTTAGATGCCACCTATAAGTTGGGGTTAGGGTTAGGGTGGTTAGGGTTAGGGTAGGGTTAGGGTTAGGGTTAGGGTGGTTAGGATTAGGGTAGGGTTAGGGTTAGGGTTAGGGTGGTTAGGGTTAGGGTTAGGGTAGGGTTAGGGTCAGGGTCAGGGTCAGGGTCAGGGTCAGGGTCCGGTGTGTAGGGTGTGCTGAGTCTAGTCCTTTGAGCTTGAGAGTAAGCCTTGTTGATTGCCTGTTGGGTCTATGGAACGGTATCTGTGCTCATTTTAAACTCCTGGTTTATGCCTCGCCTCAGCCGACCTTTGCACCCTAGCAGTCATAAGTACGTTTTCCAAATGTGTGATTCTGTGTCTCTTGACACTTAGTTCGTGTATAGCCATTTTGATACTCCACCTATAACTGACACCTGAGGATAAGTCTCTTTTTTCTGTCTGACTTATGTCACTTAGAATGATCGTACCCAAGTACACCCGAGTTGTTGCAACTGGCCTTATTTCATTGATTTCATGGCTGAGTAATATTCCATTGTACATAAGTATCACATCTTCTTTATCCATGTTTTCCTTCCAGGGAGATTTTGGTTGTATCCAAGTCGAGGCTCTTGTAAACAGACCAGCACTAAACGTTGTGGTGCCTGTGTCCTGTCGAGCTTTGGTTTTCCCAAGATACGCGCCCGTGAGTGGAAGTGCCGTATGCTCTGTAGCTTCGTTTCTTAGATGTTTTGGGAAATAAACTACACTTCTCCAGAGTGCCGTTGGCAATTTACCGTCCCACAGTCAGCGAGAAAAGGCTCGCTTTTCTCCACGCCCTATCCTGCATTTCTGGTTTTTACACTTTGTGAGGACGGCCCTTCGGACTGAGGCGAAGTTGTACCTCTTTGTAGCGTTGGTTTGCACCGCGCGCCTGCTTGGTTGGCCAAAAAGGGTGTACGTGGTTTTCCTGAAAATATTCAGGAAAAACGCGTACGCCCTTTTTGGCCAACGGCATTGTTGAAGAAGTTCTGCCCCTTTCCATGTGCTTTCGAGGCGAGACCAATGTCCCTCTTGAAATTCTGTTCCTGCAATTCTGCCTTGCTTTCAAGTCCTCTTTCGTGACTTACCTCAAGGCATTTTTCCACGTTAGGGATCGTTTACAGTCCTGCACGATTGTGAATTGCAGTGCCCCTGAGCTCCACTTTTCAACTTGTTTCTTTGGGCACTGGCCACCCTACAGCAGGATTGCTTCAAGCCTTATTCTAGTTCCGAAGCCTAGCTGAGCCTTTCGTCACTTCCTCTTCGGAAATTAGAGTGGCATGTGCCTGTCCAAACACCTAGGTGTTGTCTCTCATTCTTCCCCACCTTCCGGTTCATCTTGCGGACAGATTCCAAAGTGTGCGAAACAGGGTGTTGATGGTGCTGACTTCCCCTAGTGGGGAGATTGTTAGGAAAGAGGCTGGAGGGGGGAACCCGAGCACCAGGAGATGGGGAGATGAGGCGCCTTTTCCAAACTCTTCCCGATGCGACGGTGTACCATCGTCAGGGTGTCCCATGCATGTTTTAGCTGTACGAAGGGTCCCCTGCACTTGGAGGTTTGGGATCCATGGAATGGGGACCAGGCAGGATTACTCGAAAGGGGCTGCATTTGCTGACTCCTCACCCAGCCTCTCAGCCCCACGAGTGTCCAGCCTTAGGGCCCATGCAGCTGTGGGTCTAGATGTGGTCAATCCAGGTTGCATCACAGCCCCTGAACGAATTTTGTAACGTTTTCTTTCTGTGTCTTTTTTTAAAATTTATTTTTATAATGGAGTGTAGGTGATTTTCCATGCTGTCTTTCTGGCTGCTGCACGTCCACTTGTTTCACTTACAGAGAGACATCCATAAATTCTTTTAAGATTCTTACCAGTCGTATATATTCTTTTCTCGTGACTAGAGTGTGCTGAGTCCAGTTCTTGAGCTATAGAGTAGGTCTTGTCGATTACCTGTTTGGTCTTTGGAACAGTATCTGTGTTAATTTCAACCCTCTGGTTTATGTCTCACCCCACCCCCACTTTTTCCCTTAATCAGCCATAAGTGTGTTTTCTGCATGTGTGACCCTGTTTCTGTTTTGTAATTTAGTTCATGTGCAGCCATTTTTAGATTCCACCTGTAAATGATAACTTATGCTGTGTCATTTTGTGTCTGAATTTTGTCACTTAGAATGATCGTATCTCAGTCCACCCGAGTTGCTGCAACTGGCCTTATTTCGTTGATTTCATGTCTGAGTACTAATCCCTTGTACATAAGTACCATATCTTCTTTATCCATTTTTTCCTTCCAAGGACATGTATATTGTTTCCAAGTCGAGGCGCCTGCAAAAGGGCTGCACTAATAGTTGAAGTTCCTGTGTCCTATGGATTTATGGTTATCCCGAGATATACACCCAGGAGTGGTAGTGCCCTATGCTCTGTAGCTCTGTTGTGTTTTAATTAATTAGGTAATTGTTTTTGCCTGTGTTGGGTCTCTGTTATTGCACATCGGGTTTCTCTGTTTGCAGGAAGTTGGGGCTACTCTTCGTTGAAGTGCGCGGGCTTCTCATTGCAGTGGCTTCTCTTCTTGCAGAGCACTGGCTTTAGGTGTCAGGCTTCAGTAGTTGTGGCACCCAGGCTCCGTAGCTGTGGCTCACGGGCTCTAGAGCACAGGCTCAGTAGCTGTGGCTCACGGGCTCTAGAGCACAGGCTCCGTAGCTGTGGCTCACGGGCTCTAGAGCACAGGCTCAGTAGCTGTGGCGCACGGGCTTAGTTGCTCCAGGGCATGTGTTATCTTTCCCGACTGGGGCTCGACCCTGTGTCCTCTGCCTTGGCAGTTGGATTCTTAATGTCTGCGCCACCAGGAAGTCCCTGTAACTCTGTTTCTTAGAATTTTTAGGAAACATCATACCCTTCTCCAGCGTGGCTGTTAGCAGTTGACATTCCCACCATCAGCGCAGCAGGGTTCCGTTTTCTCCACGTCCTCTCCTCCATTTCTGGTTTTTACACACTGTGAGGGTGGCCATTCTGACTGGGGCAAAGCGCTGCATCTCCGTAGTGTTGATTTGTATTTCCCGCATGTTTGGTTGGCCACAAAGGTCATGTGGGTTTCAGCCTGTACACCCGTTTTGGCCAACTGACTCGTAGGCAATGTTGAGCAGCTTTCATGTGCTTTAACGGCGAGTCCAAGCTACCTCTTGCAATCCGGTTCCTGCAATTCTGCCTTGTTTTGAAGTCCTTTTCTGTTACTTACCCCAAGACATTTTTCTACGATAGTTGTCATTTACAACCTTGCCCCTGAGCAACTGTCTTCAACTTGTTTTTGGAACCGGCCACAAGGTGGCAGGATTGCTTCAAGCCCCATTCTGGTTACAGGGGCACCCTGAGCCTTTGGGAAATTCCTCTTCCTTATTGGAAATTAGAGTGGCATGTGCTGTCCAAACACGTAGAGTTTGTTTCTCATTCCTTCCCCCCCTTCCCTTTCATCCTCCCGACAGATTCCAAGCCGTGCGCGACCCGCTGTTGAGTGTGCTGACTTCCCCAGGTGGGGAGACTCTAAGGAAAGAGCAGGGAACCCCTCCCCCAGGACATGTGGAGATCAGGTGACTTTTCCAAACTCTTCCCGCCCATCCGGGCCCCCATCCCCCATCCGGACACGGCGGGGTTTCCAGCGGTGCGGGGCTCTGGCGCCGCCCTGCAGGGAGCAGCCCTGCTACCCGCGGCTACAGTGCCGCCTGCTGGTCTCTCCGTCCTCCCACTGGGCACAGTCTTCACCTTCCCCGCTGCCTCGGATGCTCTGTCTCCTCGCTGTCCTGTGATCAGCCCCTCGTCCCCACCGCCATCACCCCCAGCTCCACAGCCCTCCTCCAGCCTCAGGGATGACCCAGGACCCTTCCTGGGCTCCCCGCCTGCCCACCCTTGGTCGGTGTCCTCAGTCCACCTGTGCAGACAGGTGAGGATCCCCTCCAGAGGCTCCCAAACGCTTCACCCCCTACATCCTCCCCGGGGTCGGCCCGTGTCCTGTCGGGATGTTCCACCCTCAGCAAGCCCCCAAGTACATGGCAAGGGCAGGCATCAGGCCTGCTGCATGCACTGCTGTGCGTCCTGCTGTATACACAGGCATGACCCTGCCCCAGGGTGCAGGAAAGACGTGGGGAGAGGGGCTGCCCACAGGGCGGACGTCAGCTCTCGGCTCACCAGGCAAGGGCAGCCGGGTTCTCGCTCCTTGGACCCTTTCTCACCCAGCCGGACCATGACCCGGCTTTGTTCCCACCCCTGTTGTCCCTCCACTGGCCTCGCTCTTGTAGCAGAGCAGGACAGTGTGGTCTGTGGTTACAGGCTGAGACAGACAGACACTGGCTGACCTGCGTGCACCCAGCCGACCCCATGGAACGGGCCCTGCACCAGGGCCTGTGCAGTGTGGGTTCATCTGCCCACAGAGAGGCTGGGCCTCTGCTCCTGGCTCTAGGAGGTCACCTTGAGTCTGATGGGAGTGTCCATGCTCCGTGGGCCTCAGTCCAGGCTGGTCTGTGCTGACGGCGTGATACACAGTGGGGCTTCCTGAGTCGCCCCCGGGGGCTGGAGGCTAAGGTCAGGCACAGTCGCCCCCGGGGGCTGGAGGCTAAGGTCAGGCACATGGTGGTCCCCACATTGACATGACAGACCCCAATAAACCCTGCACTTCAGGACTCAGGTGGGCTTCCCTGGGCTGCCACAGCCGAGGAGGCTGGACCCTGCTCGTCCCCCTGTCCTCGCTGATTTTAACTTGCATCCTTCACCATAATAAACCCTGGGTATAACAGCTTCAGGGAATTCTGGGAGCAAGAAAAAAGAAGCCGGGGAGGGGGTCTCTGGGTCCCCAGCCCTGCAGTTGGGGGCAGAAGTCGGTGGGGAGGATCTTGGGGCCCTGGAATCTGAAGGGCCCCCCTACCAGGGGAGGGGTGGGAGACCCTGGGTGGTAGTTAAGCTGAGTCCAAGGCCCTCCTGCGTAGGAGGCTTCCTAGCCCCGGGGATCCTGAAGAGGCCGGCTCCCTCCTCCCCTCCGCCTCTAGGCCTGGTCCCTGCTCTTGAGAGATTCCCTAGGGTGGGGTCCTGGTGCTGGAGGTGCCCCGATGCTGTGGCCTCCTGAGTCTCCAGGGAGGATAACGGGAGTGGGGGAAGACCTGTTCACAGAAAGGGAGCTTCTGCCGGAACAGAGCCTGGGTCTGCTGCCCCCGACCCCAGGTGCACTGGGGCAGGAATGCGAGAGCGAGGCTCCCTCCCCTCCCAAGACACACAGGACACATGGGCGCTGGTCGCTGGACTCCCACACAATATTAAAATCTCCCACGCAGGTCTCATGGATGAGAGACACTATTTAAAGACTATTAATGGGGGAGGGGGGCCCAGGGAGTGAGGCTGATGTGGGGAGACTTGGAAAATCACCCAAGGATGCACTCTCCCTGCAGCGACCCCGCAGGTGAGCCCAGGTGGAGGTGGACCCGTCAAGTCAGAGCCCACATCCTGGGTCTTTGGGGGACAAATAGCCAAGCACCCCCAGTCCTTGCCTCCACCTGCTGCAGTTAGGGCCTGCCCTGTCTTCTTCATGGCCAAGTTCTCACCCCTCCCAGAAGGCCTCTTGGAGGTTAATGCGATGGGGGTGTCCATGGCAGGACTGGAGGGTCTGTGGTGGGCTGGAGGCCATGTGGCAGGCAGGCGGGCTCCCACCGATCCTGCCGGTCCACACCTCCTGGTCATAGGCCCGCAGAGCCCACCAGGCTGTGGATGTGGTAGAAGGTGCCGGGGACCGGTCCAGCCCATGCAGGTGTCTGACCACCGAGCGGTCAGTGTGGAGTATTCCCAGGGAGCCCTGGCCGTGCTCGCACCCTCCCGGGAATGACACGTCAGCGTGGTCCCTGGAATGACCGGGAGGTCAGCCAGAAGCGCCCCCACCCAACCTCACTGTACCACAAGAAACAAGAGACAACTCCGTGCAGAAAGACAGAACATCACCAGCCTGATGCTGTCCTGAGGAAGGTCGGCTGGCATCTGGGAACTGGGTGCTATGGTGGGTTGAATGGGGAGGTCCCCCCAAAAGTTATGTCCACGTCATGGCTCCCAGAATCTGAGAAAAGAACCTTATTTGGAAGTAGGGTCTCAGCAGGTATAATTAGTTACGGATCTGGAGATGAGGTCATCCTGGATCCGGGTGGCCCTGAATCAGTGACAGTGTCCTTCTAAGAGACTAGAGGAGAGACACAGACACACAGGAGACACCATGTGAAGATGGAGGCAGAGACAGGAGGGATGAGGCCACAAGCCCAGGGAGGCCTGGAGCCCCCAGAAGCTGGAAGAGGCGGGAAGGACCCTCCCCTGGAGCCTCCGGAGGGAGCGCGGGCCTGGGACACCTTGACCTCAGACGTCTGGTCTCCGGGACTGAGAGAGGACAGGTTTCTGTTGCTCTGAGCCTCCGTTTGTGGTCGTTTGTCACAGCTGCCCCGGGAAGCTAATGCAGCTGGTGAGCAGCTCCCTGGCCTGATCTAAACCCTCCCGCCTCCCGTTAGGGGCAGCCCGCTGCGCCTGTGCTGTTTGCACAAACCACGTGGCTCGTGCTGAACCCCGGCTCCCCTTCTGGGCACCGGCATTTTGGAGGGTGAGGGCAGAGCACACCACGTGACCAGCCCCCAGCCAGGTACCAAGCCTCTAATGAGCTTCCCTGGGGGGACGGGGGTGGGGGTAACTGTAATGGTTCTGCCCTTGTCGCTGGGGGAAGAGACACCCTAGAGACCCTTGAGGGAAGGAGGGGGCATGAAGGGTCACGAGGTGACCGGAGCAGGGGCCCTCCCTCCCGTGCATCCCTACTGTGTGCTGTGACCCATCTCAGCTGTGAGCACACAAGTCACAAGCATGTGCTGTGTCCTGTGAGCCTCCCAGCCAGTCCCTGAAGGTGAGGGCAGCCCTGCAGACCCCAGCCCTCTCCTGCACGCCTAGTAGGTGGAAGACCCACTTCTCCTTGCCATTCCAGAAGCGGTTCTGGAGCTGTCCTGGGAGGGCTTCTGGGGTTATGCAGGCTGAGCCCCTGTTGCTACGCCCCCACTTCCCCACAAGAGCCTCCAGAGCAAGCAGTTTGCCCTGTTGCCTGAATGACCGCCCACCAGTTTTCTCAGGAAAGAATCGGGGGTTTCTGTAGAGGCGTCTGCAGGCAGCTCTGCAGCTGGGCCCACGTTCACATCTTCTGTGCAAATACCGAGAACCTTCCCTGACACGTGCCCCCGGCTGACCCCCTCCGCATGCCAAGCACAGGCCCCAGTGCGGGCGTCAGACTGACCGCCCGTCTCAGCCTCCTGTTGTTGTCAGAGCTGCTCCAGGCCCTGCTCAAGCCCCGTGCACCCACCTTTCACAGGGCTGTCCTGCACCCCCACCTTCAGCAGCAGTTCCCCTAAGTATTTAAGTGAAGGGGTCCAGAGGTAAGAAAGGAAGCAGAAACAAACAGATGAAACCAGCTGGGACCAAGATGACAATGAGTGTGACCTCCAACCGACCCTGAGTCTCATCACGTGCTGAATTTACTACATCAGCATATTAGGTGACACACCCACCGGCGGCGATGGCTGGACATGAAGGACCAGAAACGGGTAAAAGGAGGTGGTACCCCAGCCCCTTGGAAGAAGCCCCGCCCCTTCCCCGGAAGGCCTCTTCATCCCATCACTAGCCTCCCTCCTCCTCCCTTTGTCTTTACTCTTTAAAATTAAACCTCTCTCTCCAGGAGGGCGAGAAGGCGATCTGTGAGCTCAGTTCCCGCTTCTCCACTCTTTGGCCACTGAGTAGAGCCTGTGCTGTGTTGGTCTCGGCTTTGGTTCTGTTCTTTGCCTACTTGAACCCACGTGGGAAAAGGAAACCTCCCCCGCTGAGGCAGAGCGACTCGCAGGCTGGGGCCCGAGCAGGGTCCACATGACTTCACTTGGTAACGGTCTGTAAGGGGACGGTGGTCTCTGCCTGCGGCGTGGGGAGGGCACACCTACAGCCACAGCACCGGCTCCGTGGACGGCACGGCCCCTCGTGGGCCTGGACCGTGTGCTCTCGTCCCCCCACGCCTGACACCGCTGACAGTCGTGACGTGGTGACACTGGCTGCTGGGCGTCCAGTCAGGCGGGACCAGAGGCAGCACCTGGTGCCAGGTGAGACGTGCCTTTTCACGGGCAGGGGACATAAGAGATATTAGGACTTTGTGTCTAGAAAACAGACCAAATGGCTAGAAGGTGATCTGAGCTGTGGACTTGAAACCCACGTGCGCGGTGAGGGCTCCCACTGGACACTGGCTCGGGGGCTTCCGCACAGGCGAGACCACACCCGTGCTTCCCGCCCGACCCCTCCAGGCCTCCCTGCGGGCACAGCTGGGCCTGCGCCCCTCAGGCTCCCCGACCCAGAACCTGGAGGGCTGATGCTGCCAGGGCCTGGGGACGCGAGGGGTCCCTCCACCAACGCTGCTCGGCCCCTCCTGCCCAGTGACCAGGGGAGGGAAGCCCTGTGGAGTCTGAGGCCCGGCACAGGCGAAGCTTGCACCCCCTCCCAGGACCCCCTCCCCACCCTGCTTCCTCAGGCCCCCGCCTGCCCCTCCCGGTGCCCGCGTCCCACCGACCCACATTCCCGGTGTGGACGTCCACATGCACAAGCCGCCGCGTGTCCTGTTCCCTCATGGGACACCCCCATCCCTGCTTCTCCCTAATGACGACCCGGACCCCGAATGTTCTGGGCAGGAAGAGGGCCGAGGAGGACGCCGGCCTGTCCCGCCTGCCTCCAGGGGGCCCAGACACAGGGCTCGGGGCTGCTGGGCCTTGAGGTCTGGATGCTTCTAGGTGTGGGATGAACCTGCCACTGCCCGCTGGAGCTGCCCCTTCCGAGACTCAGGAAACAGGGGGACCCACCAAACGGAGCCCGTCCCCAGGCTCTGCTGCCAGTCTGCTCGGCTTTGCTCTCCCGATCCTGAAGACAGACCTGCGGAAGCAGGGCCTGCGATTCCCACACTGACGGTGTTCTGTGGAATTTCCACTAGACCCCTTCCTACCCTGTTCTGAGCAAATTACTAGTCAGTCCATGCTACCATCACCCCAGGAGCAGACCAGGAAGCTGAGGCTCCCAGAAGCCAAGTAATCCAGCCGGAAGCACAGCTGTGGGACCACGGAGTGGGGTCTGCACCCGCCGCCCGTCCAGGGGGACTGCCCACTCCCCGCAGCTTCCACACCTGTTCCCTTCACCCCCTCCCGGGACCAGCTCACAGAGCCTCCTCTTGGGGGGATTCACTTACCTTCTCTAACAGGATCCGTCTCACTGTCCTGTTCTGGGATCACCCGGAAGGCTTGTCACTGAAGCACGATCAGCCTCACGTCACCAGGGCAGCTTTCCTAGATCACACTCACCACCTGCACGTCCA